GAGTTACAGTGGTTGAAGCTCTGGAGAGCGTTCAGAGAAGGGCAACAAAGCTAGAGAGGAGTCTGCAGCAGAAATCTCACGGGGAGAGATTAAGGGAACTGGAATTGTTTAGTCTGGAGAAAAAGGAAACGTTATGTCATGTTTTCAAAAAGGGGAGGAAGGAGGACCCAGGGAATTACAGGCCAGTGAGACCCACATCTGTGCCTGGAAGGTCATGGAACAGATTCTCCCAGAAGACAAGGCACATGAGGGATGAGCAGGTGATCCAAGACAGCCAGCATGGCTTTACCAAGGGAGGTTGTGCCTGACCAAGCCTTCTATGATGGAATGACAACATTGGTGGACAAAGGGAAGGCCATCAGTGTCGTCTACCTGCATTTGTGGAGGCCTTTGACAGGGTCACTCGTCACATCCTTATCTCTAAATTGGAGAGATACAGATTTGAGGGGCGGACTATTCGGTGGATAAGGAATTGGTTGGGAGGCTGCACAAAGGGGGTTGTGGCGAATGGCACTGCGTCCAGTGGAGGACGGTGATGAGTGATGTCCCGCAGGGGTCTGCCTTGGGACGGTGCCTTCAACATCTTCATCAATTACGAGCCCGACTGCACTCTCAGCAAGTTTGCCGACAGCAGCGAGCTGAGTGGTGCAGCTGACGTGTTAGAAGGAGGCGATGCCATCCAGAGGGACCTCAGCAAACTCAAAAGGTGGGTCGATGTGAAGCTAACGAGGATCAACACAGCAAAGTGCAAGGTTTTGCACTTGAGTTGAAATAATCCCAGATACAGACTGGGGAAAGAACTCCGTGAGAAAAGCTCTGTGGAGAAGGACCTGGGGGTCCTGGTAGATGAAAAACTGACCAGGAGCCAGCAGTGTGGAAGGCCGATGGTATCCTAGGCTCCATCAGAACAGGAGCAGCCAGCAGAGACAGGGCGGGGATTGTCCCTCTACTCTGCCCTTGTGAGACCCCAACTGCCGTACTGAGCCCAGGTCTGGGGCCCCCAGTATAGGAAAGATGTGGAGCTGTTGAATAGGATCCAGAGGAGGGCCACAACGATGCTCACAGCGCTGGAATACCTCCCCTGCGAGGACAGGCTGAGGGAGCTGTTCAACCTGGAGAAGAGAAGGCTGTGAGGAGACCGCATTGCAGCCCTGAAGTATTTAAAAAGAGATCATAGAAAGGAGGGGAATCAACATCTAAAAAGGTAGACAATGATAGGACGAGGGGGAACGGGTTCAAGTTCAAGAAGGGAAGCTTTAGATTGGATGTCGGGGGGAGGTTCTTTACAGAACGAGTAGTGAGGTGCTGGAACAGTCTGCCCAGAGGCTGTGGATGCTCTGTTCTTGGAAGTGTTCAAGGCCAGGTTGGATGGGGCCCTGGGCAACCTTGGCTGGTATCAGATCTGGAGATCGGTGGCCCTTCTTGTGGCAAGGGGATGGGAACTTGATGATCCTTGGGTCCCTTCCAGCCCAAGCCATTCTATGATTCCATTCTACGATTCTGTGATAGTTACCAAGATAGAAAGGTGTTCATTGTGGCATAATAAGCAAAAGAAATTTCCTAAACTGGGGGAAAATAGCTAAAAAGTCAGCCAAGGACACTGGGAAGAAGCTGATGATGGGAAAAAATGAAGATGAAGATGAAGTAAAGAGAGAGATGACTCCCAAAGCTATCTTTTATGCTTGCCCAGAGGGACATAAGCATATATTAATGAGTTCTTGGAGAAGAATGAATTCATATGCAAATGTATTGTCTTTATTGTTTAAAGGTAACACTTGAACTCCAAGAGGGCGTGTTTGATTTGCCATGCCTGGTACAAGCAGTGAGAGTAAAGAAATGCCAGTTTTCCAGCACTGCATTGGAGCTAGAGGGTTTTCTTCTCAGATTTTTCCAGTGACGTAACTATCTCAGGAAATGAAGCACAACGACCACATCACCTTAGTTACAGCTAGTGTTTAGGTGTGTATGTAGTTTCTCACCCATTTTTCTTTTAACAGAAAGGAGGCAACACTTTAAAAAAAAGATGACCCCTCCATATTCATGCGTATCTCCAATCGTGCGTATCTTCTGCAGTGAAGTCTAAATGCCAAAATTCATTTCAATGGCCATAAGAAATAAAACTTCAATATTTGCAAGATCAACATGCTATCATAGGACCAAAAAAAGAGATAAAGTTGCATGCTGAGAAAGTTCTAACTGAAGGAGACCTCTCTGTTATGAAAAACAAGAAACATGCTGCAACGCGCTCCTCCTGAAACTGTATCTTTTTCTCCCCATTCTTCTAAATTTTTCTCTCACTGTGAATTGTTTTATCTACAACTACTGTATTAGCAAATGTGCTGAAGTTCCGCGCCATCAGCTCAAACGCACATGCTTCAAGAAGTGATTTACCTCACCCAAAACATGCGCTGCAAGGTCTAGATAAAGGATGCCGACCTGTGCGACCTGCTATAAGGGAACCTGCTTTGGCAGGGGGGTTGGACTCGATGATCTCTGGAGGTCCCTTCCAACCCCTACAATTCTGTGATTCTGTGATTCTGTGAGACCGTGTTTTCATCAGAGAAAGAAAGGTTTGATTCATCTGAAATCAAGTTTCTGAGTATAAACGCTTCTGAGTATATTCAAGTCGTAGAGCCACAGAGTCATATAATCATAGAATGGTTTGAGTTGAAAGAGACCTTAAAGATCCTTTAGATCAACCCCCTGCCATGAGCAGCGATGCCCCCCACTAGGTCAGGCTGAAATCCGAATCAAGTGTTCAATATCAAGCTTCAGCTTTAATACAAATGTCATCCATTCATATGAAATTTGAATGTCAGACAGCAAAATTAGTTACATATGACGATATACAACAATTTATCAGCAGTGGCTACAGAGACTTTATCTGTAGCGGTGTCACAGCCCAAATCTTCCACTATGTGACACTGTGGCTAAATACAGGTCATTCTCCTTAGACTGAAGACGTCCTTCAACCTGCAAGGTTTGTATGTGTAGCTGGATGAAATTAAGAAACTAAAAATGCAGGCCAGACCACAAGATGTAACATGTACTGATAAAAACCTTCTCAGTTCACCAACAGGCTTTCCAATGGAAACAGAAGAACCTTCCTCAATTGGGAATTTAACGTAGTATTTTTAGTTAAAGAAACGTGACATGACCACTGATTTCAACAATCTCACAACAACAATTAATACTGCAGTTAAAAAAAAGCAAATACCACCTAGATTACAAAATAAATAACCCATAATCTCACAAATCTGCTCTAGTGAGAAAAGAAAGTAATGAATAATTTCTGTTCTTTGCATCAATGGCAATCTTCCTGCCATGGAAGAACTTTCTTTTTTCTTAATCGGAGTCCTCTCCTGGAGAGAGCCCTTCATAAAGTCAGCATCATTGTTCATGAGAAATCTGTTGTATTTAACTCACATTATGGTTAAATATTGCTGCAACTCCTGGAACCAGCTTACAGCTGTTGTGAGGAAGGCTAAACTTAAGTAACAACTGCAAAGTTTGTTTTCAAAGTTGAACTCACACGTGCATCTAGAGAAATAACAGCAGTAGGCTTCAGAATGCTTATCAAAAGCCTCTACCAAGCCATACCCAGACTAACAGGACAACCGTGCTGTCTTGTATTACGAGATTCCAGTGAGCTCATCTAATAGCAAACTTGTTACTTCAAAGAGAAGTCTGAGGTACTGAAGCTATTCACAAAGACTAACACCAGCTGTTAACTGTGGGCTAGACTGTCTCTTCAGATTGACACTGATTAATAAAACAAACAAACATAACTACAGTAAGGGAAGGATTCACATTTTCCTTACATACACTCCATGTTTTCACAAACGAAGGTAAAGTAGCTTTTTCACCAGGTCGTAAGCATGAGAAAAGCCAAACCAAGAGTTTTCCTTTTGGCCAGATCACAGTTCAGACCACAGAAGTGAATCGTGAAATTGGGTTTCCTGAGTTGTAAACGTGTCAGCAACACCTATGATGTCAAGGCAAAGACTGTTTCACCAAGCCATTGCTGCCCATTTGTACATCTTAAGCAGTTAGCAGCAGCTTGTTGGACTCATGGAGAAGGAACCTTGTTTCTGAGGGGTTTGCTCATTCTGCAGATTTTTTATTTTATTTTAGGCCACGGAAATCTCACATATATTTGGAAAACTAAAATCTGTTTTGTAGCAACGCCTTCAGATAGCCTAAGCAGCTTCGCAAAGCCTTTCTCCTTCATCATAAATGCAGAAGTTTCCAAGGAACAACCGAAGCAGCGCTCAAGCACGGGGATGAAGTGCTGCCCCCGGTGACCTTCTACCCTCCGGCTGGCAGGATTCAGGCAGAGCAGCGCTCGTTCTGTCCCCGTACCCCTCCTGGCCGCGGAGCTCCCGGTCCGTACGCCCCAAACAACAGAGCCCAGAACCCAGCGCTGCCACCGGCACGGCGGGCTCCCGCAGCCCCACGCGGCGCCGCAGCCCCCAGTCCCGCAAAACCGCTCCCGCGCGCCTGGGAGACGCCGAGGCCCGCCCGGCCCAGCCGAGCCTCGCGCTCCCACCGCCCGCGAGGCCCGGCGGCCCGAACCCTGCAACGGAACCGGAGCGGCGCGGCGCGGCCCTGCCCAGCGGTGCACCTGCCGCCACCGGAGCGCGCGGACCGCATCCCGCCGCCCGCCGCCCGCCTTCCCGCCGGGCGCAGACAAAGCGCGTGCGGAACGCCCGCTCCAGGAAAGCGGGCGGAGGTTCTCGCCCGCTCGCTCCCGTCTCCGCGGCCGCCGGTTCCCCTTCCCCGCTCCGTCCCGCCTTCCTCCGGCCGGGCAGCGCCCCGGGGCTCCCGCCGGCCCCGGGATCGGGGCGCCCGCTCCGCTCATGGCATTCGCTCGGGGAAGCGAACTCCAGCCGCCGCCTCGCGCCGCCGGACCCGCGCCGTAACCAGGCCGGGGGGGCTCAGGCCGCGTCCGTGCGCTAACGCCACAGCCCGCTCCGCCTCGCTCCCGGCCCGGTGCCTACCGTAGGGAGACGCGGAGGTTTCTCCTTTCCTCGCCATCGTCCCCCGGCGCCCTCCGTGCTCCGGCAGCCCGCCGCTCAGCGCGCTCTTTGTTGCCGTGAAGGCATGAGAGGAGGCGGCGGCCGCGCAGCCCCGCTCGGCTCCGTCGCCGGGAACGCCGCCCGCACCCCGCGCCGACCCTCCTGTCCCGCCGGCTCCGCGGCCGACGCCTGCGCCGAGCTCGTGGGGGCGGTGCCCGAGCCGTGGGGGGGCGGCGGGCAGAGGGGGCGCCGAGGGCGGGCGCAGGGCCGCAGGACGGCCGGCAGCACGGCCCGCAGCCGCCCGCCACCCCCGGCTCGGCCGCTCCGCTCTGACTCCGCCCGCGTCCGGTCTCGGCGACGCTCCGCAGCCACTGAGCGAGCGCGGTGCCGGCCAAACCCGCGGCGCGGGGGCTCCGCGCTGTCGCCCGACGCCGACGCTGCCGGGAGGAGCGTTGCGCCCCGCGGCACGGGACGGCACGGCAAGGGACGGGACGGGATGGGCGGCGGCAGGCTCGGCTCGGCTCGGCTCGACTCTCGCGGGCCGGTAAGCGATCGCGCCGCCGTGAAGGGGGATGAGGCTCCCCTGTGCCCAACCCGTGCCCTGAGGCTGGAGTCTTGTCACGGCAGAACTGCGCGGTCCCGGAGCCGCTCTCTGCTCCGACCTCGGCCCCCCCGGCCTCACGAGCAGCTGCGGGGGGCGCTTGCCGCCCTCGGCCCTCGGCGGAGCTGTCCGGGCGTCCGTGCTGAGCGGCCTCCGGCTCCTGCGAGGAAAGGCAGGGAGCTCGCAGCGACTGCTGAGAACCGACGCGCTGTGACGCGTGGATGTACGCGCAGAGATCTGGATTTTCAGCATCCTGACCGAGAGGAATTTTCGCACTTCGGTTTTGAGCGAGGCTGTTTTCGTAATTCTGTCCAAAAACTGAGCTGTGATCATAAACTCCATTCGGTCCTGACAAATATAGACTACCGGCCATTAACTTTCCTTTAGTTTCCACCCACTTCTTGTTGTTTTAACAGAGCAATGATCAAGAGCAAGTAATCTGTTTGCTCAGATTCTTTTTCAGTGTTGGCTCCATGCACTCTTCCCTTCCCTTTTCTACTCTACAAAAGTTCTTACCAGCCATTCTTGTTGTCTCCCAATCCAATTTACTTCCTCTAACGCTTACTCCTATTTCTATTAGTAACCGCCTTGGTCCCTGCTTCCGTTTCTTCTGATCTGTTCATATTCACACTTTAACTTCATGTTTTGCCCAGCTGATTAAATCTTTGGTCCAGCAGAGACTTCATCAATCCACTTGCTGGAGTCATGGTTCATTTATCTCTCGAATGAGAAAAAAAGTTATATCTGTGAGTTTATTGATGAATAAGAATCACCATCAGTCAGATTAAGGCCTAATCTCTACATACTAAGCAAGTGCTCTAACCAGTGCAACACTGCAGGAGGTCAAAGATAGTTGAAACTGTTCAGTACAGAAGCTTGCTTCCAGAAAGTACATGGACACACGTCTTGAGGGGCAAGTAGTGAATTTCACTTCAGAGATGCTTCTAGCCTGAGTTAAACTCTCAGCAGCAAATTGTAACACGTATTCCTGTCCCAGTTTCCTCACTTGGCTGATTTCAGTCAGCTACTGCCTCAGACTGCGTCAACATGAACGGTTTGGTTCTGATGAGGGCAGTTTTGAGGTGAATCTCCCAGGCATGCCCCTGCCTCCTCTAACTATGCTTTGATTTACAGACAGATTTGAAGGCACATTAACTGAATTTTGGATTAAACTAACTGGAAGACATGATCTAGGAATGCACCTGAGGTTCTCCAGCCCTTCACTAGGGATATTCAGTGTAACTCAAAGCAAAAACCCACCCAAATGCTTAGTAGGTCTTGGATCCAACCGTTTTACCCTACAAATTCAGCATCATTGGTCTGCACTATTTTCCGAAGAAGGCTTTATGAAAGAATCACCTGCAAAGAAAGGCTGAGAAAGTTTGAGTTCTTAAGCCTAGAGAAGTCTCTGAGGAGACCTTATAAATGGCCTTCCAGTATTTAAAGGAGGCCTATAAAAATGATGGGGAGGGACCTTTTATCAGGGAGTGTAGTGACAGGACAATGGCAACTGTTTGTAACTAAAAAAGGGGAGGTTTAGTTAGGTATGAGAACACCACGAGGATGGTGAGGCACTGGAAGAGGTTGTTCAAGAAGCTGTGGGTGCCCCATCCCTGGCAGTGCTCAAGGCTGTGCTGGATGGGGCCCTGGGCAGCCTGATCTAGGGGAGGCGTCTCTACCATACCAAAGGCTGGATCTGGATGATCTTTAAGGTTCCTTCCAAACCAAACCATTCCCTTGGAGCACTGATTTATTCAGTCTCTCAGACTTAGGTATATCTCCAACACCACTCCAAGTTGTCTTTTAACTCCAGTGCTAATAAGGAGCTTATTTACTTAATGAAGGATTACGGATCCTAGTCTAGAAAGCACCTACAAATAATGTCTCAATTCTTAGCACTGTAGAATGTAAATCCTTTCCTGTAGTTAGTAAACATATTTAGTGTAATTTCTTTATGGGTGTTCAGGTAGCTCAGTCAGTCAGCTGGAGTTACCTAAGACAGCGCATGCTAACTGTGACATCATCTTATATAGGTTGGATGTTAAGAAAAATTTCTCTGAAAGAGTGGTCAGGCCTCTGGAATGAGCTGCCCAGGGAGGTGGTTGAGTCACTGTTCCTGGAGGTATTTAAAACGTCGTACTGAGGGACATGGCTCAGTGGGGGAATACTGGTGGTAGGCAGGTGGTTGGACTGGATGATCTTGGAGGTCTTTTCCAACCTTGGTGATCGTATGACTTTGTAATACAATTCCAAGCGCAGAACTGTGCTATGTGTTTAACCTTATTTATAATACTCATAGTCAAATCCGTGCTGCTTATTAAGAATAAAACTTTTAAAAATAGGATGAATTTCGTTATTGTCTCACTCCAATTTATAGGAGAAAGAGGAGGTTCTTTGATATCTGCATATCCAGCATGACATTAAGAAACAACATTTCAAATGTTGGTCTGACCAGTTTATTACAAATCTTAATCAGGGAGATGGGGAAGGGAAGGACGGACACTATTATGAATTAGGGTGAAGGGGAGAAGGGAAGAAGGGTGATAGAAAAGACAGGAAAGATGCAAGGAGTCTTTATAGGAAGCAAGAGGGAGATAGTCACCACCATGGATCCAGCCTGCTTTGTAGCTCACTCACTGATCTTCAGTAGTGGTGGGTTGTCGGGCGTTGCTGTTCTGTTGATGACGACGGTGACCATGGCGATGATGGCGACTTCTCAGTGGTAGTACCCACTTATTTATAAGTCCAAAGTGGTTGAGTCAGCTCTCCTTGAAGTGGCAGCTTCTGGCTCTGGGATCTCAGCAGAAACTCCTTTGTTCCCATCTTCTGGGCCTTGCCAGCAGATAAGAGAGAGCAGGGAGGTGCCATCTTGTATCTTGCCTTCACAGGATACAATGGGATCATCCTGCAATCTCCCGTAGCAAGCTGGAGTTATTTGGTCACAAGGTAGATCTTCCACCAGTAAACTGTCCTGAGCACTCCCTTCCGAAGGCAAACAGCTCCAAAGAAATACTTTCAAATGTAAAATTGTCCACACAGTGATGCTGACTGCCACACAGCAACACCCATCACTCATCTCCAGGACAAGTCAGTCTCATCACAAGGAATACCTCAGGAAGCAAGCTTTGAGCCAGAAAATAAAGAAGGATTCATAGTTATATACACAGCTGTGACGATTAATCAAGTTACCACAGAATTAGTGGTATGCAGAAACCATACAAATAACAGATAAATATTACATGCCTTGCAAGTGGACTGTTCAGTAATTAAATCTCCTCACCATAGTCTGAAACAGGACTTATGGAACAAAATCCTACACAGAAAGGAGTGCAGAACACACACTTGATTGTTTATTTTTAAAAGCCCCATAACCACAACATCGAATGACACAATGTTCGTGAAACTAGATTCAAAACAGGAAGAAAAGCTTTTCTACTTTTATGAAATACTTAAGTAAAGCAAGGTCACAAATTATGCCTGTATCTTTTATTCAATTACCCCTAGAGTATAGGATAAATAAAATATTATTTACTTTTAGAGAGATCAATAGTGTGACATCCTGGTTAAGAATGGACTTACTTAAAAAAACAACAAACCCTTATTTCTGACTGTTCTTTGCATGCTAGCATCATACACGTTCTTTTCTTGGATACTCCCAAGATGCTGCTCCAGCCCAGTACGGTTTTGCCTCCCATGTGCGCCTGAGTCAGCGTTCATGACTCATAACACAGTCATACCAGTTTTAATTAGGAAGAAAAGCGGTTTTGTTGTTGCTTGTTCGTTGAATTAACGGAGTTTTTCTTACCTGCCCTGTGCTAATCCAACTCATTCGCTCGCCGTTCCTTAAAGACAACGGAAAGAAACGCAAGGCGTTTCTAAACAGCTGACGTCTTTAATACGACTCACGAAGGCGCGGGGTCTCAGCGTAGGTTATGCGCACTCCCTCCGTTTAAATTCAGCGCTCGACTGCGACGAGCCCGGGCGCCGCAGCCCAGTAGGACCCAGGGCTGCCCCGCGCGCCGCCGGCCGGGCTGGGCCGAGCCGAGCCGAGCCAAGCCGAACGCGGCTCCGCGCCCTGCGCGTGGCGGCGGCCTGAGCTGCCCGCCGGGTCCCGTCCCGTTCGCGGCGCGGCAAGGAGGGACGGGCGGCTCCCGGGCAGCCATCGCGAGGCCCCGCCGGGTGCTACTTTTTGCCCCGCCCGGAAGCGCCTCGCTCTTTCCGGGACGGGCGGCGAAGATGGTGGGTGCTGCGCTCCGCGTGGTGACAGTGTTGGGCCCGGCCCTTTCTGTGGGCCGCGATGGCCGTGATCGCAGAATCCCGGAACGGCCCGGGTTGGAAGGGACCTCGAGGGTCGCGGGTCTTCAACCCTCCGCCACGCGCAGGGCCGCCGACCTCCACGTTTAATACCAGAACGGTCCGTCCAGCGACGGCCGCGATGACCGTAACCGCGCCGGTTCCGAGGCGCTGCCGGTCCGGAGCTGGGCCTGCCGAGCTGGCCGGGCCCGGCTGCGGTGCGAGCCGAGCGCGGGGAAGCGTGGCGAGGGGGGTCTGCCGCTCCGGGCCTCGGGCACCGCTGGTGCTGCCTCGTGGCGCGCGGCTGGGCCCGGTGTGCGAGTTGTTGCGGCGCGTTGTTTGTAATGGCTCGGCAGGATCATGGCTCGTTGGTGCTTTTACAGGGGACGCCGCAGAAGGATGTTGTAATAAAGCCGGATGCGCCAAGCACGTTGCTTTCAGAGAAACATGCCGACTACATCGCCTCGTACGGAACGAAGAAAGATGATTACGTGGGTATCACTTTTGCTTCAGCACAGCTGTGGTTTTATTAATAGTAGCAGTAACCCTTATTTACTTCTTCTGTGTATAAGAGGAGGTATATGTGTATGTTTGGAGTATAAGAGGAAGAAGGCCTTGTTGATTTCCTTAGGTCTGTGATGAGTTTTGGCATGTATTATCTGAGCATAAATGTGAAGATTACCGGTTTAGCTCTAGAATTACTCTGAGACCCTGGAAATAAACTACTTGTTGTGCCTTCATCCACTAGAATGTGTGAGCACAGATGTATTCATATGTGGGTGCTTGGTAGGGCAGCACGCTGAGGTGCATTGCAGCACTGCCCTATGAGTGCTGGGTGCAGGAAATGCTTCTGTCTGGTGTCATTTGTGTAGGTGTGATGGAGCACGTGGCAAATGGAGTTTGTCAATAACTGCATGTCTAGGCGGGGAAAAAGTTGTAGTTATCCTTATTGTCTGCACTGCTGTACTGGTGGTTAAAACCTCCAGCTGTAAGAACTGCTTGGCACCAAATAGTGCTTATTGACAGCATAGGTGAAGTAAACAGCATTCACGTGTTTGCACATGTATGTATATTTGTGAATTTACTTCCTTGTACAACACTGGATTGTGGCAGTTCAGTCACTTGTTAGTGAGTTTCATTAAATGACCTTATTTTTGAGACTAGTTGAGGTTGTAATTTGAGTGGTAGTTTGGATGCTAGGACAGTAACAGCTGGTCTGAAATGAACTGGTGGCTTATTGGTTGCATGCGTTTACCTTGACGTTTAGATTGATGCTTCTAGAACAGGAAATACAGCGGAGGGTGGGAATTCAGTGTGTGTAGGTATATGTGCACATAGCGTGTTTGCATGGACACGCGTGCATAATATACAGAGTAAGGGTGGCTAATACATTCTAAGTCATTTATGGGATTGGAAATATTTGACATGTTACTAACAGTAAATAATGTATTTCTATTGCTTTGCTTGGGTGGAACGTTTATCTGAGACAAACTAAAATAATGCACTTCTTAGGAGTACTGTATGTCTGAGTACTTGAGGATGAGCGGTGTTTATTGGGGGCTGACAGCCATGGACCTCCTGGGACAGCTGCACCGAATGAACAAAGAAGAAATTCTGGCATTCATCAAATCGTGTCAGCATGAATGTGGTGGAATAAGTGCCAGCATAGGTCACGATCCCCACCTTCTGTATACCCTGAGTGCTGTCCAGGTAAAGCTAATGTTGAAACAACCATTTGTGTGTGATGACTGATGATTGCAGATATCCAGCACTGTCTGGTTTGGGTGCTAATAGTAAACACTCTTTCAGTACCTCAATTAAAAAATAAATAAATCCGAATGGCAAAACTTCAGGGTTTAGCTGTGTCAGTTCTTTAAAAGTGGTCAGAATTAAGAATATTGCACTTGTAATATACACTTAATGATGAATTTGCATTCCTGATAGATTTCGTAACACTCCTCTCAAAACATTTCTCAGCTGTAGCTTTTACTGGAATCTTGCATAATCCTGAACTCTGTTAACCCTTCTTAGTATGTATTGAGGCGAGAGGTGAACATGTTCAGAGTGATTTTATTTGTGTGTGTGCCTCAAACACTTGACTCTTATTAATAAATGTGCATACATGTATGCAGTTACTATGTAAAATAGTTACATAGGATTAGTTAAATCCACGGCTTTTGTTTGTGTGTGTAGCATGTTTGCATTCTGGTATCATACAAACGGAACACCACAGTAGCCACTTCTTGTTGTGTTCCTCAGATCTGTTTCATTTCTGTGTACTTAAAATGATACCAATCTCCTAAGCATTTTCTTATTTGATGTTTACTCCTTCCCTGAGAAAAATGAATTATTTTCAATTGTGCTTTTTCCCCATAGCTTTCTCTACTGTAGATTTAATGTTTCATTGTCTAGTCTGTGTTTTTTCCTAGTTACTGCACAAACTGAGGTGGAAAAAACACATGGAAGCTCAAATGCTTGTAGGCTATTGCTTGTTTGATTATGTAGTGTATCTCTAATTGAAGCTCATGGAAGTACTGCTCAGATGGTGTTACAAATAAATAAGGTAGTATTTGGTTTTAGAAAGAAAATGTTGGATTTAAGGTGTTAGTTTTGAAATCCTTAGGATGGGAAAATGTTGTTTTCTTGGGTCAGTGATGATTGCTGGCATGTATTATCTGATGTAAAGGTGATGTTTATCAGCACAATAGCTCTAGAATTACTCTGAGACCCAGGAAACTTAAGTTTCTTTAGACAGCAGCCTTTGAGCTTTACCAAACACTCCAATCAAGTTCCTTTCATGAAGTCTGATTAAATATACAGAGAAGGAAGACAATTTGAGTCTTAAATTTTGTAAGAGGCATACAGTTCTTAGATTAATACTTAATATTATTAGGAGATATTTTTGTGTCAGCAATGCACCTCTGGATATGTAAAGCTGAAAAGTGTTAGCCATTGCTGATGTGAAGTTTTTAAACCTACCCAGTGTGTCTTAAGGAGCGTGCAGGTCCTCCATTCACAACACCTGCTCAGTCCCATCTAAATCTGCAGAACGTTGGACAGGTAACGCTGCATCTTCCTTTGCTCTCAGTTCACAGTGATGTGTTCAGGTAGCTCTGGAGGGGCCGTGCTGTGCTTCTGGATGTTCTGTTGGAGTTGCTTTGTGGATTTTTTTTTTTTTTGCATTCCCATGAGTGTTTTTAAATTAAATAATAGCTGGCAATTAAAATACTCCAGCTTCTTAATTGTAGGAATTCAAAGTCATAGCTGTTGGTAGTTCCTAGGCTCAGTTTTTCAGTGTTCCTTAGTTTCTCTTGTTCTTTCGATTTTCAGTTGTTCTGTTACACTATTTATAATGAGCTGTCGTTGCTTATCGCAGTTATGAGTGAAAACGAAGCCAGCGGGGCTCAGCAGCAGCACTGTTGTGTCCACGTGACATCCAGCTGCAATTGGCTGGCTCAGCTCAGTGCTGATGGAGACTCTTTGCATTCCTTGTTCTGTGACCTTTGGTTCACAGCGTGTTACTGTGCACTATGTCTGATCACGTTGTTTGTACTTTTTCTTGAATAGTTGCAATTTGCTGTTGTACTTCAAATTTAAATGTTTAAAATAATATATTTTGTGATCACTCCTGGTGGACTTTACCTGTAAGTGGTATTAGTTACTGTCTGCTCCACTTACGGGTGTGCAAATAGCAGCAGTGCACAGACTGCAGATTTAAGTTCTGGAATGATGCTATCGCATTGCAGAATTCACCACAGCCAGATCTCTCGTGTTGTACCTGATGTGTGTGAAAGTAAGGGAGCCAGATGGGGCCTTTAAGAGGAGAGCTGGAGTGTTGGAAAGCAGCAGAGCATGGCACAGTCCAAGAATTGGCTGTTTTCATGTGAGACGCTTTTGGGTAGCGATGGGTGAACTTGAGTGAATCAAATCTGATTTCAACAGAACTTAGCAGGCACCAGCCAGAAGCAGTTAAATGAAGTATCTTACAAACTTGGATTTTTTTATTTGCTAGTAAGTGCATCTGAATAACCTCTGCTTCTCCCTGATTGTTCCTGTGGCTTTCTGTTCTAGATTCTGATCTTATATGAAAGCCTCCATGTTGTTGATGTAAATAAAATTGTTGAGTATATACAGAGCTTGCAGAAAGAAGATGGATCATTTGCTGGAGACAAATGGGGTAAGTTTTAGATTGTAAAAATGGTTTGATTTTGTTGACACATGTAAGTCTATGAACTGAAGTTTTCTTGGATGGTGGTTTTGTGGATCTTCTGTATATAAACACTGAATTCCTGGGTTGTTTCATAAACAAAAAAAGGAAAGAAAGAAGTTTTGTGGAGGACAAACTTTGGTTTTCTTTCCCATCCAAAATATTTTAAGATTTGTTCCTTTTTTAAAACAATAAATTGTCCAGCTCTTAGAGAAAAAACCTTTGTGCACTCATAACTAACAGTGCTTTTATGTGGTAGATGCACTATTTTCTGGGGTTGTTTTTTTTTTTTGCTTGCTGTTTCATGACCTTCCTTTTATGATCTTTCTCCTATGGAAGGCAGCTTTCACTATATGGAAATGAGGGAAAAATACTAGCTGTTCTTTCACTCATCAGTATTAATTAATGCTATTAATTATTATTAATTATACTATTATTTATTATTATATATTATATATATTATATATTATTATTAATTATACTATTAATGCTTATTTTTGTTTATGCATGTAAATTCTTCATGAACAAAAGCAGTAATTTTCAAGCTGTAGAATAACCACTGAGTCAATAAAAATGCTTTCTGCTGTGGAAAGCTTCGTTTGGTAGAATGTATCCTGTCATGTTTTCTGTTCCAGTAAGGTTTTGCAGGCAGTGCCATGGTCAGTATGTGTGGCTGCTGGATGCCTCACCCTGTGCTTTAGGAGAGCCATGTTGTGAACTTCCTCAGCAATCATTCTGCTGAGGTTTTTTTTGGCTTAGCATTGAGGTGTAAATGTGCTAAAGAAAACCTGCAGTTCGATTTCCTAATAACAAAAGTGGGCTCTATTCCTGCTCAGGTATCAAAGAGCCCAAAGCATCAAAGGCAGACCTGCTTCAGGTGCTTTATTGATCTGTTTTTAAATACCCACTGTTCTGCCTTTATCCAGTAGAGTACTGCAGATCAACTTTTACACAGCTGTTTGCAGGTTGCCACTGGTTGGATTGCCCAGAATGCAGGCAGTGAGTTGTTTGCTTTAGTACAGTAAGCACAGATCATTTGAACTTTGGAAATGACTGAGGAAATAACTGACGGATTGAAAAGTGAGCTTTTCATTGTTGCCATACAGGTTTTTTTTACATTTGTTTCATATTTTCAGTGGTGATTTAAATGTATTGTTGCTTTTAATGAAAATGATATTTCATTTCCTGCCCTCTGTGTTTTAGGAGAAATAGATACAAGGTTCTCCTTCTGTGCTGCAGCAACTCTTGCACTTCTAGTAAGTTCCAAAACATCACTTGAACAAGTACAGTATTTTTCATTGGTGTATAACTGAAGTTAACCAGTTTGGCTGAACGTAAGATATATTGGTTGCCTTTTTAACTTGCAGGGAAAATTGGATGCTATTGACGTGGGGAAAGCAGTAGAATTTGTTTTGTCCTGTATGAACTTTGATGGAGGATTTGGCTGTAGGCCAGGTTCTGAGTCACATGCAGGACAGGTGAGTTTTATTTTCTATGGAAATCCTTAAATTATTAAATACCACAAACTGCCTCTGAATGTTTGTTTTTGGCATCAATCAGGGATGCCAGCTGATGGAAGCTTTCTTGTTTTCAAAATGACAACTTCCAGTCTTGTAGTTGCAGGGCAATTAGTGGATACATCTGGGAAGCTGGTTAGGAACTCGGGAGGCTACAATCTAGGAAAGAAAAAAAACCAAGGGAGCAATTTGTAGGACTGTATTTCAGATTACCAGTGTGAGCTGAGTGACATCCAAATAGTGGTGCCAGTAGTTGGTGTGAGGTTTTAAAGATAATTTGGAATTGGTGTTAATGTAGACATTGGAGAAGAAAAGCTTAATTGGGGAAAAAAAAAATCCTTTGTGATGTGTTGCAGTGGTTACCACAAATTCTAATGAAAGGTGCAAATGAATTGTGTATGTTTGATATTTATCAGAGGAACGGAAAAATAAGTGACAACTAAATCTTTTAATCTGTCAAATTGCAAGAATTAATTATTTGAGCAGGGTAAATTATAAGAAGTGGTGATTCTTGCATAGGAACCTCTACAGTGTTTTGTTACAGGTACTGAAGAGTGCTGATGGCAATTGATGAAAATGATCAGTAAAATTTAGTTGAGAAGAAGGTGGAGTGGTGTCACTGAAGGAATTCCTGGGCTTTATCAGGAAGGGAATCTCTTCTTTCAAGAGAAAAATTACGTGGGAAAAATAACTTCCTGTCTATTTTCTTTGCATGTAGGGGATTGTTGCTCCGAACTTAAATTTACCAGTAGGTACCAACCTTGGTGAACGGTTTTAATGACCTGTTTATTTTGCATAACTACAGTGAGCAGAACCATAGCCAGCTTTTGCTTATGTACATGGAAGTAGTATCAGTTCCTGCGTTGAGAATAGGGGGGGTGGTTTCCCCAGCTCCCACTCTCTTCCCCCTTATCCTTGTGGGTTACATCTCGAGCAGCATTGTCTGAACGCTGAATGTGGTGTTCCAGGAGGTTGTCTGTTTGGGGGTGTTTTTTCTGCTCAGGAAGGGCTGGTTATAAATAGGCTTCAGCTGAAGTTGTTTCTTGTTGTAGGGTGGTTTTTTTTGTTTTGTTTTGTGGTTTTTTTTTTGGTTTTTTTTTTTTTTCAGTTTGTGTCTGGTTCCCTTTTCAGTGACTGCCTGAAGTGTGTTGGTAGTTTGCTGTCGCACTGCATGTCTTATTTTTGAGGTAAAATAGGCAGGGATTAAAACTACATGGCACTTAAAAAGTAAGCCTGCTGAGGCCATGCTTGTACTTAGGATTGCCTGCAACACTTATGATTGCTAGTAACCCTGTTGTCAGAGAATTCATTCGGTCTGCAGTTTGCCCTCCATAAGCCTGAGAGAAAGAGAGGGTTGGTTGGTGGCCTGTGGCAGGGGGCTGGAGCTTGGCCCTTGAGGAGCCTTCCAACATGTGCCATTCTGTGCTTCTGCAAATAGGTGTGAGCATAGGCTGGCCGCAGAGCTGTCAGAAAGGCGATGTCTGGCCTGTGGAAGCAGTTTGGGTGCTCTAGCTTCAAAATAAAGCATTGCTCTGCCTTTTCATCTTTTTGGAAATCTTAGTCTATCTTATATCAGTAAAGATATGTATGTATATATATATAAAGAAATCTTATATCAGTAAGAAGTTTTATAATTACTGGAGCTCTTTAACCAAAATCAACTGTGATTAATATCTGCCTGTAAGGAAAAAATGAAATTAGCTAAAAGGTGAAGTGTGCTTATTTTATATCCTGTTTGCAGGACTGTGTTCTTCGAGATCTTCCTGTATTTAGTCTCTGTTTAGTTTTTAAATACACAAAACATTTATGTCTGTAATTTTAGATCTATTGTTGCACAGGATTTCTGGCTATTACAGACCAGTTGCATCAAGTAAATGTTGACTTGCTGGGATGGTGGCTTTGTGAACGTCAGCTGCCTTCTGGAGGTCTCAATGGGCGTCCGGAGAAGGTATTAGATGGCTTATTCTGTTCAAAGCTTAATGTAGAGTATTTTTTTTGGAATACAGT